CTAAATGCCCGTCGACAGTATTCTAAGGGACCAACGGGGGATAGCTGGCTAGGCTATATCTACCTTAGGTACTGAAGTTTCCTATTTAATTTATATTCCCTTAGAGGAACTACCAAGGGTCGCACTACAATATATATATATAACACTTTAGGTTAACAACGATATAAATAAATATTTATTAAACAATTGAAATATTAAATAGATAATACAACCTGCTGGACACCTAGAGATGATTAATCCAACAGGGAGCTGACGGCGACACATACACACACTATAATATACGGGTAGCGAAGTTAAGTTAATTATCAGGCAAAAGTAGTGATCGCGAAGATGGTAAAATGTCAACTGTCGATAGGGATATCTTATTATGGCACATTGGCCGTGAATTGCAAAAAGTGTTTATGTGTGCAGTCCGCCCTCCTGTTAGTATTGCTGTATGTCACTGTGTTAATTATATATATATATATATATATATGTCTATTAAACGGTACAACGATGTTATGGGAGACAGAGATATGGGCACATGCAAATGTGATCGTATCAGTATTAAAAAGAATCATAGTTACTTAATAAGTTGTATTAATTTGGCAATATTTAATTATAATTTAAAAACTTACATCTAAATCATTTTAATATTATTAACATTCTTTTTTTATCAAAAGCAATGTTATTTCTGTGTCAAGTTATGAAAAATTTAAACTAAACATTTTAAACATGTAACATAATAAGTTGACATTTATTAATATGTCTTAGTTAGTGGCAATATTATTTAAGACATTCTGTTGTTTTGTCATGGTTATCATTTTGTCAAGCTGTCCTTTAATATCACTTTTATAGCTTCGATGCAAAGCTGATAAGGTAATAATTTTACTATAATGTGTTTTTTTTTATAAAATTTACATGAGTTTCACTTTCATTATTAATAAATTTATACTTATTTTGATTATCAATGTTAAACGCTTCTTTGAATTTTTGAACTATCTTAAATTGTCATTTTTAGCTAATTTTCGTGTTATTAACAAGGTCTGCGTATAATATAATACAGTTCAATATTTTTGGAGTACGATGTTCTTCTTCTAACTTCTTTTGCATTTTTTCTTAAGTCTTTTTTGAGGTAAAATTCAAATTCAAAGTTTGATTTCTATCTCATTTAAATTGAATAACTCTGTTAAATATCAAGGATCGCATCACCTCGTGAGAAAAATTATTTTATTCATATTAAAATATTTAATATATGGTTTTTTTTTGTGTCTATCGTTAATTTTTCTCACTTCTCAATTGACCAGTTTTAATGACTAATACGTTAAAAGGACACGATTTTAATCTTGTTGAACGTATAATCACTAAATATTGTAAAATAGCCTTTAATTTTAAAAATTCAGACAAATATCTCAAAATTACGCTATTGTAAAAAATGACTACTTCAAAAAAATGTTTATTTAATTATATATTTCCAAATTTATAGGAGCATAATATTCGTCTTTATACTAAATTTCACAGTAAATACATCTCAGAAAAATAAAATATTTTTTAATATTAAAAGTATTCAATATATAATTTACGTAATTCAATTTTTATTCTGATATCAAGTCTTAAATTAGATTTTTTCAATCACTCCTTTTTTGAGATAATTACTAATTAGAAACACATGAAAAAATTAATAATAAAACAAAATTTTATCAAGTTATTATTGAATTTTAATATGTTGCAAATAATCCGTGCAAAATTTTAATTCAAAATGACAATATTTAACTTATTCTTTTGTTCCTTTAAATTTGATTACTATTAAAATTTATAATTTAAATCATTTTGTTAGTATACAATCCATAATCGAAATTCTAACTGTAGATTTGATTTCGGCGCAAAAATAGGTTTAGAAAAGTATATTTTACTCTCTGATAAATATCCTTGTAGACCAGTAAATTTATTTGTAAGTTATAAATAATTTTTTTTTAAGTTGCATCTTCGGCTGCCAGGTTCTAATGTCGGAAATAGCAATTTTCTCCGGGTAAATTTTTGCTCTTTTACCGTTCTTGGCTGGGCTAAAAGAGTCACTTTTACCATGCAAATATATTTTTTCTGACTTTTGCTAAGGTAATTCGTCTAAGCTTGAGTCCTGGTCGGACGCTGAATGATTACCCTGTTCGTCAATCAACATTTCTTTTGTAAATAAGTTTGTGGCTCGGACCCGGAGGTCATAAAGTGAAATGTGACAGATTTCCTTCGGTTCCGAGTGATACCAGTGAAAGGAATTAACTCCTTCGGAAGTTTTAACGGGAAAGACTGTGGAACCATTAACAACTCATGTGTTAGCTGGTTTTGTTCCAGATCTTCCAGAAATTTGTTCGGCAAACTGTTCTCGGAGAGAGCTGCTTGTGTTCCTTGGTCAGGACGTTTTGCACAACTCTCCTGTATTTCCGACACTTCTCTATCTACCGTACTTTTCTTCCGTGAATTCTCCGTTACTTCGGATTTAATAGCAGCGAGCTGCATATTTTTGTGCTTCTCGAGTGCCTTTTTGGGTTCCTGGTCGGAAACTTCGATACCAGGCTTGCGTATAGTTCCTATACTACTCAAGGTATTTATTGACACGACTCACAGTTAGCACAAGTTTAGATATCTACTGTTACGAGTGGCGTTGTTGATAATTTATGCGTGATAATTAATCACAATAATTTCTATTTCAAATTAATATTATATGAATAAATTTTCAAACATCACTTTTTTTTTCTACATTTTACATGTACTCATAAACCCTCGTACACCAATCCCGAGAAAAATTATATTACATCATTTCATTCAATAAATATGTAGTAACTCAATTATTTTTATGATCATACAATAACAACCAATAACCTAATTTTATATATCATATTAATCATACAAAACTACCTTTTACATATACATCCATTTTTTTGAGTAACTATACATATCAATAATTGTCATCGTCGCCTACCAACTCTGTCTCATTTTTCAGGTCAGATTATCATATTTAAACTTATTTATAACTATAATCATTTTATATCACTATAATTATTGTAATTACTAAAAATAAAGAATGGCTCTTTGACGGATGTCAAAGGACAGATCAGATCCCAGAGGGCTTTTAGGTCTGTAATAATAAATCATATCAATAAAATTTTATTTTATTAATTAAAAGAGAGGTGTGTTTTACAATGCGATACAAAGAGTTACTTGAACTACATGATTGTTTGTCCAGGACATGTAAACAAATAATGACGAGTAATATATTGTGAAATTGTTTAAGCTCATTTATGACTTATTTGGTAAGGATTATGTAAACAATAATTAAATGATTACACGCCTCAGCGGCGTCGGTATATTATTGCTAAGCAATTATTATTGATATATATTGATTTAATTAAGTAATATGAAAAAATATTACATTACTTAGTCTTTTATTTATTTGTTTATTAGTAATGTAAGTGGGGACGCCCAAACATAGATTGATTATTAATTATATTAATTATTATATTAATATGTAGACTAACACATTTAAAAAACTCAAGCTCGTGCTATTTGAATATGGTGAGAGGGAGATAGGATCAATATTTTTTGAATATTATAATAGTTAGGATACTATTATTTTCTTAAATTATAATAAATACATATAAAAAACGATAGCGCAGTAGGTTTTCTTACCGTTATTAAAATCACTATCATAAAAATCGCTTCGATGCAACTCTGTAAATAGTTTTTAATTGTAAGAAATAATTACAAAAGCAACATCAACTTCTATTTCCTTAATTATATCCTAAATAGTAGTTCTTTGATTAAAAATATAATATATGGATTGAATAATAATTATATACAGGCTGATTTTTTTATCATAACCCACTCAATTACTAACAGAATAATAATAATTAAAAATGTTTTTGTTATTATTATCTTTAGTTACACATTATTCTTGAATTATTAACTATGTAATACTTTTTAAGTTCATCCCTTATGGTAAGGGTGACATCTTTGTTTTTTTAAATGGTAACACATATTTTTAATTTAATAAAATGTTTGAGTTTTTAATTCAATAGTAAATGGCATTTGAATTTTTAATGAAACTTAATTTGTTTATTAGATATAAACATTTAAAGTTTCAAATTTTTGAGTTAATATATAGGTATAATACACAAGGGATTACAAATACAGGTAGCAAATTGATTTTTTATGACATCGATATTAGCAGATACACAGTATTGTTATTAACAATGATAGTAAGGTACATTGTTTTGAGTTTATAAATACACTAACTGACAATATAAAAAGTATATCTATTGATAGTCATAATTGATAATAAACAATCCGTGACTGTGATAGCAATATCATAAAAAACCAATTTAAAAAAACATAAAAAACCTGTATTTGTAATCCCTTGTGTATTATACATGTATATTAACTCAAAAATTTGAAGCTTTAAATGTTTATATCTAATAAACTAATAAAATTATACTAATAATTCAAATGTCATTTACTATTGAATTAAAAACTCAAACATTTTATTAAATTAAAAATATGTGTTACCATTTAAAAAAACAAAGATGACACCCTTACCAGGCATAAGTGATGAACTTAAAAAGTATTACATAGTTAATAATTCAAGAATAATGTGTAACTAAAGATAATAATAAAAAAAAAATTTTTAGTTATTATTATTCTGTAAGTAATTGAGTGGGTTATGATAAAAAAATCACCCTGTATATTAAATTTAGTATTAGTATTAGTAAATTTAGTATTTAGCAATTGCTATTCAATAATATATTATAATTTTTACGGAAAAATAATATAAAATGATATGGTAGTATATTTTATTACTTCTATGACAAACAAATATAAAAATTGAAAGACTTGATGCAATACTTTATAAAAAAGATTTTTTTTTACTTATAAATAAATACATTGGTCTACAAGGAACTTTCATCGGAATCAAAAATATACTTTTCTAAATAAACTTTTCACATTGTTTTCAAATTTAGAATTAGACTTTTTCTATCAATTCTAAGTTAAAGTTAGTATTTACATAGAAAAAAATAATTAAAAATAAAAAAAATTATTTTTAAATTATTACTGATTTTTATTTTTAATATGTTAAAAATAATCAGTGCAAAATATCAGCCATTTTTGACCGATTTTTTTTTGTCTTTTAAAGCTGATTTTTAGCTTCGATGCGAAGCTGAGAAGGTATTGGTTTTACTATGATGTGTTTTTTTTTTTTTTTTTGGTACCATATTTTCTCAGCTCTCACCAAACGGATTTCCATCTGATGGTGATTGTAAGTAGTTTTTATAATTCTTTGGTGATTTTGTAATTCAATCATACTAGTTATCGGTATTCCTTAAATCACTTAATTACTTGTAAAATTAACATAGTAATGAAAAAAGATTATTTTTTTCAGTTATTTATATTTCTTGGTTTATTAACTGTTAATTAATTATTAGAATCATCTTTAATTTAACTCTATAACTTATAGATTTGTCAACTTAAGTCAACCTCACTGCGCGTCTCAGAAGACGTATGGTGTTAAAACTAGGCGCTTAGTTATACAGAGTGATTTTTTTATCATAACCCACTCAATTACTTACAGTGTAATAATAATTTAAACATTTATTTTTTTGGTTATCTTTAGTTACACATTATTATTGAATTATTAACTATGTAATACTTTTTAAGTTCATCCCTTATGCCTGGTAAGGGTGTCAACTTGGTTTTTTTTAAATGGGAACACATATTTTGAATTTAATATAATATTTGAGTTTTTAATTCAATAGNTAAAATTTGACCTCTAGACTTATCTTCACGGTGAAAATGGCTACCTAATGCTATTTTTGTGTGAAAATTCTTGATTTTGTATTTTAAATTTTTAACCTTATAATATTATAACATATTGAAAAGTGTATGGATCAACACAATTTTTTTATGAGAAATAAAATTTTTTAATAATCTTTTTTTCATTCGACATACTTTATCTTAATCAGGATATTAATAAGGAACTAGCAGATCATGTAGCTTTTGAAATAATCCACCAATTTTTTAAAATTAAACACTATCTAAAGATTTACATCGAAGCGTTTATTTTTGATAGTGATTTTAATCACTGTCAGATATTATTATACTTGATCCAACTATGCCACGGCACCACTGTGCCGCGACCCCCTTGTGCTGGGTTTTTTAAATATATTATAAATAGAAAATTTTATGAAAATTAAAAAAATGGTATTGTTGAGATTAATATGCAGTAGGAGATTTTATAATTACCATTTACAGTTAATTTAACCTAATATTTTTTTAGAATTTTTATCGTAATAAAACACTTAAATAGAGATATTAGTAATCTAAATATCTCTATTTAAGTGTTTTATATCTTTATATAATTTTGTAGCTTACATATAGCTTGCATAAGTTTTTTAAGCTTGTAATTTTTTGGGATTTTCCTTATTTACGAGGAGTAGGGGGGAAATTTATAAAATTTTGATGATGATGACTTCGACTAGATACGATTTGTGATTTATTTATATATTGTTCACTAAAGAAAATAAGTGGTCACAGATACAAAAAAGAAACCCATCATATTAAAATGTATACCTCGAATATGCATCGAAGTTAAGATTATAATATGATTAATAATTTTCTTACAACATTCTTTAGTGTCATTAGCAAATGAAACTCATTCAAATATTCAAAAATTGCTATTATGTTAAAAAAATTAAAAACGACAAAATTATGAACAAATGTCATAATGTTATAATGACGAAAAGATTAATAATTATTTAAAAAAATGTTTTATTTATTTAATCAAATAAATCACATAATTTTTCTGAGTGTAGCCTAGATCTTTTATAAGTTACGCGTAAAGTAAATAATCTTCTAAATATTTAGGAGAATAATAGGTCTGATTTTTTTTTTCAATAATCTCATTATCATCGCTGTTTTTCTCATTATTGTAATTTTCATCATCCGAAACTTGATTGTCGTATATTTTATTATCATTTGTGATATTATTTGGGAAATACAATGAGTGATACATGTCTTTATAATTTCCCAATTGCTCTAAAGTAAAATACATAATAATTACTTAGATATCTTATTTTGAATATAATTTTTTTTAACCCTTAAACAGTCGTGTGGGGGTCTAGCATACCCCCATATAAATAAAAACGGATGCATTATATTGGATAAAAGGTATACATAAATATAAATTTAGAAAATGGTTTTTATTGTAATTTTGAATCGATTTTCATAAATAAATACCTTTGAAAAAAAATGTATGACTTAAAATATTCATCAAAATTGAAATGGGTCATATTTACCCCCACGCGACTTGTAACGTTATAATTTTGTTTGGACTTGTATTTTTTGTAAATATCGTTTCATCGTAAATGCAATTGTATAATCGATATAATATTGTGAAATTGGAATTATGTGAATCTTCCACCGACTGTGCAATTAAGTTTTAAAAATAAATAATCTATTGAGAATTTCCACTACTCGATGATACGGAACAAATAAGAACAAAACATTTAATAAATACATCGCGTATAATAAAGAGTATAAAAAGTATGCAAAGATTGTAGGAAGAAAAATCAATGTTCAACAATTTCAGAATAATTGTATATACTCGTATCATAATAATTATATGTATTATAATATTAATAATAAAAAAATTCAATTCAGAAAACTGATTATATAAATGTTATATAATTTTTAGTAATGCACATAATTTTGTAATTTATTTATTTTTTTATTTTTATTATTGAATTTTATCCATATTTATATATTATATGGTAACAAATAATGTCGTTGAGTTAAAAAAAATGAATTTTTTTATACATATTTTATACTTTTTTAGAAATGGGGTCTGATAGACCCTCACGCGACTATGAACGTTAAAAACGTTAAAAATAGGCACGCGCCTGCTAAAGCGTTAAATTATTACAGAATATTTTTAGTATTTTAAAATAAAATAAATAATAATTTAAAATGTGTTTTGTTTTAATAGAAATTTTTAACGCGTAGTAGTATTATAACATAAAAATAAATAATGACAGTACCAATGTTTTTATTAAAAAGAAAATATTTTAATATTTGAAGTTACATGGATTTTATCATCAAAATATATTTGAAATAATAATAATATTACAGTACTGCACTACCTTATCTCTGTGGATAAGAAGTATGAATACTTCCATGGCCTCTCTGTCAGTCGTAAGATGCGACTTATGAAATCGCGTCAGGTCAACAACCGGTGTAAAATTTTGTCAAAAAAAGAAAACGTCCTGAACAGAAAATAAACGAATTGTCCTATCTTGAATGTTACGGGGACAGCACGTGAGAGGAAATAAGGTAGTTAGAAACGAAAAAAGTTTAAAGAATAAAGTGTTACCAGCCATGTGTACAGGCTTAACCAAGAATCGAGAATCTGATGTTGAAAATTCAAAGGGGAAAAAGAAAAATAGTTTATAAAGACGGTAAAAGAGAAAACGGTTTGGAATGTCGAGGGAGACATAACATATTATACTTATACGGTAATAACACGGACGCCGGACACTGTCACACGGGTACACGAACAAACGGGCTCGACTGGTTAATAATTACTGATTAGATTAAGTTTAGAGAAATATTTAATGCTCGCGATTGTGAATAGAATTCACGCCGTCCATTGCGTCTTATTGCGATATGACCCACTCCCGGGAACTCCCATCGTATTCCTACGTTTTATAGCATAAATTTTAAATATAAAACAATAAAATGTAAAATTTATACGATCATATCTTGATTTTGTTGCAATATTATTGTGACTTTAATTTTTAATTAATAAAATAAATAATTATTTTAACTGTAGGGGAGGGCCAAAAAAAAGGCTTCGAGGGTGCGGGTTGGACCACCCTGATTTAGATACTCAGTTTGTTCGTACTGTATACCATTCAAGAGGAACACTATCTATGTTTGATACTACTTATTGGAAATCTTTCTTTAATAGCCTAAAACCTAAATTTATAATACCTTCACCATATTCAATTGGTGGACCTTTACTAAATATTGAATATAAATGAGTTCTGAATAATGTTAAAATCAAGATTAATAATGCAACATGTCTAACAATATTAATTGATCCCGTTTCGCTGCGCTACAGTGTCGGTATGATCGGGCTCAATGGGGCTACGAAATTTCGGCACGAGCGCAGTCTCTCTAGCTCGGGGAATCGGATGCGTCCTCAGGTTGCGGATAGAGGAACGAACTGCAAATATGCAGGTAATATTGATATATTTTATTTAGCTATGCAATAGTATTTGTTTTGTTTAATTTTATGTTAAATATTTGATAAGTTATGTTTTTAATGTTATTTAAAATTCATTGTATAGTAAAAAAAGTTGTTAGTTCTGTTTTTAAAGTAAGGATTTTCCTAATTCAAATTGTATGTTTCTTTTTTTTATTAAACATGTTACATATAAAAAATAAAATTACCAAATATGATCTATTTTTTAATAATTGTCTGACATAATATATTAGACAATTTATAAATGTATTTTAATTGATAACACTAGTTTACAAATAAAAAAAAATTTTCTGACCTATGACTTATGATAGTCATTTTTTATGTAAAATCGTCCACTGAGTCCGAAAATGAAGTCCAAAATACAAGAAGTAGAACAGTTTTTAAGTTATTGCGAAATTAGCGTTTTTCGTGTATCGCGAAAAAACGTTTTCATTATATTCTAAATATCTTTAATTGCAATCAACCGATTTTCATTTTTTTTACATAAAATTAAACAATATTAAATTATCTATAACTATTATCTTAAACAATTCTTTATTTGACTTTTTTGTCGTTTGCTATCTACAAATTTACCACTAAATTTTTATCATTTTTTTCAAAATGTCAGAAAAAATTCAGAGTTTTACGTAAAATACACCAATAAAAAATAAATTTATCAACAATAATTTTAATAGACGTTATACTCTAATACATAACAAAGAAAATGATATATTATTTTGTAAAATTGATAAAAAAATGAAGTTATGCGCGATTGAAAAATAAAACAAATTTCCTAATATCAGAGTTTTTTAATTCGATGCTTTTATTTTGTAAAATATAGACAAATTACTCACAATATTACTTTTCAAAACAAAATTTCGATTTTTTAAATAACCTAAGGTTATTTCCTTCAAAATGAAATTTAGAATTACGAACAAAAAAACTTCGCCTTGGCCTCACTGCTCATCACTAATTGGTAGCACTGTACCTTTTGTCATTTGAAATAAAACGGATAAATTTATTTTGGTCATAGAAGCGTTCTAATTTCTATTAATATATTCATTTTTTCTATAATATTTAAATAATTCATATAACAAGTTTAAAACTAATGTCAGTCATACAGTCGGCATGATTACTTGATTCGGGCGATTCACTATATTCTTATATAGTCAAGCAGAAGTAGCAATCAAGAAACGTATCGTTTTTACTTTAATATTTCTCCAGAGAACTTAAGTGAATGGTGGACGCCAAATGTCTTTTGTAACACGTGCAAAACTGGATTAACAATGTGGATGACTGCGCAAAGTAAAAAAATATATATATTTTTGAAATTTTTTATATTATTTATGTATAAAATAACTAAAATCTTAAAAATTTTCATTCGCTTTAGACGATACTTAACATTTGATGTACCAACAATTTGGCGACAGCCTATGTGTCACGATGTTGATTGTTACTTCTGCTTGACGATTTTACATAAAAAATGACTATCATAAGTCATAGGTCATTTTTGTTGTAAACTAGTGTAATTAATATTTTATATTTATTTATAATTAATATTTTAATTAAATCATATTATGATGTTAATTAACTGATAAATATATTATATTTAAGTTAGTAAAAAAACTATTTTTTTTTTCAGTTTTTTTCTGGATTTCAAAATTTTGGGAAATTTTGGGTCTCTATGTAAGACAATAGAAAAAGAAGACCTATTTCGAAATATGGTAGTTAATAATCTTTAATTTGATATAGTTTTGAAAAATGCAGATGTTCCGAATCATTATCAAAAATTAAAAATAGATTTTTTTTTAATTGAGAATTTGTTTACTTTGATCGCTGTTCATTCAATGAAGAACAATTGTCTGGACAAATCGTATAACGCCGAGTTAAGCAAGTATTTATATGATAACTATACGAAAATGACAATTTTCATAGCTAAATAATTTCTTTTCTTTTTTTTTTTTTGAGCTAATAAAACATATGTTTGGAAATACTATCGAATGGAAATACTAATAAAGGGATACTACTTAAAAGGTAGTAATATACTACTTAGTACTTAAAAGGAATATAAGAAAAGATTAATAAGTCTAATTTTATAAAATACAAAAAATTAGATACTATTAACTTTTAAAAAGAAAAAAGTGTAGAGTATGACCTACACTTTTAAAAATATTTCATGAGATGTACATTGATTATCATCAAGAAAAGAAAACACATATATCTATTTATCATTTATATATACGGATGACTAAAATAAATTTTATAAATGCATAAAGTCTCAAACTATAATTTATAATTATTTCATGTAGTAAAAAAATGAAACGATATATTTCAATCCAAGTCCACAAAAAAATTATTAAATAACTCATTTACTTACCATACGGTAAAATATTTTTTATGACATTTCTATATGTAAGTTTTAAATTTAAGTTCGTTAAAGGTATATAACTTTCTGCAGTTTCAAAGCAATATTGATATTCTTTTAATTTTTCAGTAAATATTGCTAGTGCATTTATTTTCTTATCTGTTGAATTATAAACTTCTGTGATATTATCTTCTACAGTGTATACTTTATCTAAGTAGCAAAATTTTAAACTTAAAAAATGGATGCTCATAAACAAATCAATTGATTTTATTACTTTTGGCACTTCTTCATTTCTAAAAAAATCATTACGTTCTTTGAAAAACGAAATAATATTGATTGACTTATTAAATAGATATCTTATTTTTTTTGAATATTGATTTCTAAATAAATTTAAATCCAATAATACATTCATAATATTAATGATGCACTCACCCATTTTAATTATTTTATCTTTTAAATAGAGTTGTATTTCTATATTATGACATTTTATAAAAATTGTGGTTAATGTTAAATAATTATGCAAAGCAAAGAAAATAGGCCGTGTTGTTGCTGTATTAAGCAGTATGTGAAATGTCTGTATATTGTCCAAATTAAAATCATATTTGATAAATCGAAATATATCTGATAACCTTATTCGATAATTGTTTTCACTTTTTTTTAAAATTGGTGTAAATCGCAGCTCGTCTAAAACGTCGCTCAGTTGGCCATCGTCATTATAGGTGACTCTTTGTTTTGCTTGGGAGCCTGACGCGAGATCTAGTTCAAAAACATGAGGACGTTTCTCCATTAAGTCATAAAACAAAAAATATTTTGGATGAAAACGATTGTATTGTTTACTTTCATATGCTAACGCTAAATGTTTCATAATGACATTATAATTTTCTAATATTGGATTGTTTTCTATTGCAAATATATCTTTTAAAGTTAAATATTGTTTCATGTTGTTAATGATTTTATTTCTTAGCTGTTCCAATATACAATGTAAATTTTCCGGGCTATATTCAATTGGTTTTATTAAATTAGTATACAGTATAAAATCATTTTCAAAGGATACATTGGAACATTTATATTCAATAAAATACTTTAATCGTTCAACAATTGATTGGTGAATTATTTTATATCCTTTGAGTAAATTTTTAGAAATTTCAGATCTACTAAATTCACCATTTTCGTTTTTAGCGATCATATTTAAGGATCCCGAAACATTGTTCAAGTATAAATTAATCATTGTCAAATCTTCTGCACAAAACACATTATTAATTTCTCGTAATGTTTCTAACATGATCATTATGATTTCATCGTGAGTTTTGATTGCCATTCCATAGGTAGATAGTTGAGTTTCAGAAATCGTATTATCAAAGCTAAATAGATATTGCTCACTGTATTTGAAATAATTAAACATATACTTAGAAAAATTGCAATGCATATATGTATGATTTACCGCAACTGAAAAGTTTGAACATGCGATGAGTATAACAAAAATAAAAATTATCATTTTGATGTATATTACTATGCTGTACAACAATCAATTTTTACATAATAAAAAATTTTATTCAATATAAATTGTTAAAAAATCATATTAATTTGCTAAAAGTGTATTCTTATACATTAATTTTTTTGAATATAAATATAACATTAAACAAAAAATAACATTTTATTTAATTTTCTATTATTTACCCAATTAATTCAAACCACATTTTTTCTGTGATTTAAATTAACTTTTTTATATTATTTGAAATAGAAATTTATTCTTTTTGCAAATTAAGGTACATAATGTTATTTTATATATGTTAAAATTTCTATATTTATTTGGAAAAAATAGTAAAGTACAAGTTCTAAATTAAATTTTCATAGTTATAGTCACATAAAATATATTATTTCAGTTAGAAATCTAAGTCAAAGAAGTGGCACTATAGAGGATGATTTTTTTATTGTAACCCACTTAATTACTTATAAAATAAACATTTTTTTTTTTTTTTTGGTTATCTTTAGTTACACATTATTCAGAAATTATCAACTATATAATACTTTTTAAATTCATACCTTATGCCTTGTGAGGGTGACAACTTTGTTTTTTTAATGGGAACACATATTTTAAATTTAATAAAATGTTTAAGTTTTTAATTTTATAGTAAATAGCATTTGAATTTTTAAAATAACTTTATTCGTTTATTAGATTCCCCGAGCTAGGGAAACTGCAATCGTGTCGACGTTTCGTAGCCCCGTAGAGCCCGATCCAACCGACACTGTAGCGCAACGCAACGGGCCTGGGTTTAATCCGTAGAATTCAATTTTATTTTATTTTAGAAACTGATTTTATGGATTTAAAATTTAGTGGATTGTATTTTCGATATAAACGTAAGTAAATGGTTTGTCCATGCACGAACCTGTTTCGTACGCTACTAATTAATTTATACTCTAGTCTAATTACTTTATACTCTTACATAGTAAGCTAAACTAAATATTTAACCAGTCTAACTTTAAAAGAACCCGAGGATGGTGTACTATTGTTTAAGGCAAGCCAAAGGCAATACCTAAGCACCTTGGATATTGAACCTTAAACTAGGGGGAGAAGGAAGATGAAAAGTTATATATTAATAGAACAATCAATAATATTTTATTTAAACATCATTCATTAATTTTCTAATGAACACAAGTAATGAAAAATCAAGAAAAAATGATAAAGAAACAAATAGTACAAATAGTTTGTAAGAAAATTATATCACCGTGTAATAACGTGTTATTTGGCAGTTTTGTAACAAATGATATACAGGGTGGCCCACCACTCACTGACAACTTAAATAACTTTTGATCCAGTTAATATTTTTAGCTGATTTTTTTTTTAAATAATAGTTATACGTTAGGTCTATAGCTATATCTCAATAATTAATTTTTTTACATTTTATTAAAAATATTAATTATTTTTAAATTTTAAATAAAATGTAAAAAAAAAATCTAAGATAGCTATTTTGTAGAGTAGAATTTAAGAAAAATTTTAGTAAAAAAATATCTTATTAATATTCAGTAGTAAATATTCTGTAGCGTTTTGAAGTTTGTAAAAATTTGAATTTTCATGTACTATTTTACGGTATTAAACATTGAAATACGTATTGAGAAAAGGACAGAAGAAAACGCTATCTTTTCAATATACTTTTGAATGAGAGTGATAAGTAATAATTGCCTTATCTAATTTCTTATCATGGTATTTATGCCAAGTTTGTAATGTATACACACTATCATCATATGTATACACAGTAATCATGAAAAGATAGCGTTTTCTTCTGTCCTTTTCTCAATACGTATTTCAATGTTTATAACCGTAAAATAGTACATGAAAATTCAAATTTTTACAAACTTCAAAACGCTACAGAATATTTACTACTGAATATTAATAAGATATTTTTTTACTAAAATTTTTCTTAAATTCTACTCTACAAAATAGCTATCTTAGATTTTTTTTTTACATTTTATTTAAAATTTAAAAATAATTAATATTTTTAATAAAATGTAAAAAAATTAATTATTGAGATATAGCTATAGACCTAACGTATAACTATTATTTAAAAAAAAAATCAGCTAAAAATATTAACTGGATCAAAAGTTATTTAAGTTGTCAGTGAGTGGTGGGCCACCCTGTATATGTGTAACTACAAAAGTATGTCATCATCACTATTATTATCTCTTTATTAAATTTATTTGTATTACATATTATTTTATAAAATTAATACATAATTTTGGCCAATGATTTATTAGTGCATTACAATATATTTGTGACAACTTATGTATAAATTTAGATATACAAGAAACACTAAACTTAAAATAAAAATAAACTTAAATAAAAAAATTGGTGGAAAAATTAATTAAATAATTATCTTTCTAAATAGACCACATAGTTTAAAGAAATATGTGAAAATGGAAATGGAAATCAAAAAAATTATATTTTTAAGAAAACATTTTATTACAATTTTTTTTATTATTTTAACTATGGTGCAAGTATCATTATTTTCAAAGCTAAAAATTAAATTTATGTTTATAATTAGTTGTTTAGGACTTGAACATATACATTTTATTGGTTTCCCTGTAAAATTATAAAATAAATATTGTAAATTTTGCTGATATGCTTCGCAGTTAGTAATTACTAAACATTTTTTGGGATGAAAATATGAATTGATATTAAATAAGAAATATATTATCTTACTATATCTTTAATTTTTTTATATCTGGGCTTAGATGAATCAGATGAGTCAGATGAGTCAGATGAATCAGATGAGTCAGATGAGTCAGATGAATCAGATGAGTTTTCAGGTATTAGCCTTGCAATTTCGAACTTCTCGTTAGATAAATTTTTGTCCACAGTTAATGCTGGAATAATAACATTTTTAAATAGAAAATTAATCGAAATNCACAGTTAATGCTGGAATAATAACATTTTTAAATAGAAAATTAATCGAAATTTAGATTTTAAAAATTTTAAAAAATCGATTTCGACTTTATATTTTCAAAATAATAACATTTATTTAGATTAGATAGTAACTACTCGTGGATAATTTTCATTTTTTTTATATTTCTCAAAGTTTTGTCAGTTACTTGACATGAAACCGACGAAAATTTAGTTTTATTGCTTTTAACATTACATTTTGTAATTTATGTGAAATATTAATGTCTTATAACGAATCAATCAAATAAATAAATAAAAATTATAACTTTTTACTTATTTTTAGATGACATAATATTAAGAAAAATATCAAATTAACAATATATTGTAGTCTGTATCATAAAATCACGTAACTCGATTATTCAAAATTCAAAAGCAAGAAAAACAAACAGTTTTTTATTAGTTAACAATAGAAGTAGTAATTTTATTACTCAATCATTTTTATAAGTATTAAAGATATTTATTCTAAAGATGCTAAATTATCCGTTTGGAGTTATATATAATAGTTATGCCTTAATACAAAACCAACTACTAATAGAAGAGTGATGGATGAGAGACTGAAGATTGTGATAATGGAAATAATACATATAGAACAGTAGTCACCGTGTGCGGTTGACACGCTGGAATTACTGTTGGTATCGAAAGGCTGTTGTTATAGGAAGAAAATAAGGGCAACACCTAAGTATGAGGTGCAGACGAAGTGCAAAACACAAGTACTCTGAAATATAGAGGACGAGAGTAGGTAAAGGCGTCAAGAGGAATGAAACAAAGACTTGATATTAAACAGTAAGTTGGGCAGCAACAACCGAGTTCTGAGATTAATGAATGACACAAAGCATAATAGGCCAGTCAACGAAGGAGTAATTTTAGCGAATGGCGGAAAAAATTCCCAACCAAATTTTTTTTTTTTTATAAGTTGAATTAGGATATGTATAATGACATACTAAAAGTCCTCATCGATTGGACTTTTTTTTTTACAGCCTCGCAAAAGTTAAAAAATATGAGCTTTTTTAATTTTCTCAAAAAATATTTAACTTACAAAAAAAAATTTCGTATGAAAGTTGTTTAAAAGACAATTTTAAACAAAAAAGGTATCTTATATTTTTTCATTTAAACAAATATTTTTCGAGTTACATTACATTTAATATGAGTACTAAAATTTATTTTCAATTTTTTTCCATTTTACGATTAATTTTTATCATATTATTCTTACAACAGACACAATGATAAGAGTATTAAAATTTTCAATTTTTTTTATATTTGTTATTCATTGTCCTTCTCCAAATTTTGATCGAATAAATCTTCAACAAAAGTACAATCTTCTTCATCTTCAATCTCTATTTCTACTGAATTTGTACACCATTGACCTTTGCAATGTCCACATATAATAGAACATATAAGTCCAGTTTTTCGGCAGCCACAATTTTTACCACAACCTTTGGCACAACTGCATGATATGCTTTTAAGTATTTGGTCGGGTGCTGGAGCTTTCAATGTTGTAACTGGGGACAAAATATTATTCTGAAAAACCCACCCCCACTCTTCGGGATTTTTTTTGCGACCTAACCATAACTGCACTTGTAAATAAACTCGGTAAGAGTGTTGTCTTGCAGTATCTTCTGTTGGAGGGAGTGAAGCAAGATTAGTTTTATTTTTCGTTGCAAATTTTGTGAATAAATTAAAACGATGTTTATTCAAAGATTTTTCATTTTCAGGTGCTCCATATAAATATAAGAAGCACTGAATACCATTTTGAGCAATTTCATCATGAGATGAATTAGGTCTATTAAAAATTGAAATAATTGAATTTATGTCCTCTCGTTTTTCTAAAATTTGAACACTTTTTTTTTTCCTTTTTGAAATAAGGCTGACGTTGTATCACATCCACTTATTGCATGATAAAATAGTATTTTATTGATCAATGAAGGATTATTTTTTTGTATAAATTCAGTACTAAACATTTTTTTTTCTTCATTACCGGAGCTTGCTTTTAAAAAAAATATATTATTTTCACTAGGAGTTAAAGCGATGAGAAGTACTAATAAATCAATATCTTCACCAACCACGATAACTTTAGGATGATAACTAGACACATTAATTGCAGTGTTAACAATTAATGTGTCAGCATCATCATTTGCTATTTTAACAACAAATTCATTGCATACTAATTTAGTTTTAAGCATTTCAATAAATCTAATTTTATTATTATCATTTGATAAAAAGTTGTCCTTTAAAACAGGAACAACCATATGGCTTTCAAAAAATACATCAGCACATTTTTTATTTAACCTTCGACGTTGTCGCTTTGAACTTTTTATACTTTTTACATTATTCTGATAACTATCAAACACAACAATTACATCAGTACCAAAGTGTTTTTTTAAATAAGTAACATAAGATTCACAAATTAATTCAAATGTTTGATACATTTGCCAAATAACTTTATGGAGGAGAAATTCTCCATCAATTACATACTTTGCACTAGTAATATATAAACTTTCTAAAGGTATGTGCTGTAAAATATCATATAAGGCAGATTTTTTTGTTTTTCTAAGACCGTTTTCATCAAATAATGCCAAAGGGAAAGGTGCGAGTTCAAATTGAAGATATGACAAAAGTTCTTCATCACTTTTTTTTAAAATAGCGATTCGTTGAAATAGTAGTAATGGGTTTACTTTAATTATTTCATTATTAATTTTAATACCAGAAGTTATTGAAGCTAGAGTTATAACTTTATTTGACCTTTTAAGTTTTATATCATGAAAGTTATTACCCACCATTGAATTTACTAAAACAAGACCAATTTCATACGCTTTATGACAATTTACTTTATCATTACCAGAAATTCCGGTGGCAATTGACATAATATAATTGTTGTTTGGGAATGGATAATTTAATGAAAACCATTTGACAATTTTTTCAACATCACTATCATCACGAGATATCCTAGACTCACGTAGTTCGATGTGCTGTTCGCTTGTACTGGAAGAAAGATTTACAAAATTTTCAATGTTAGCACAAATATTATTTAAAACAGGCATACTCAAAATCCATTTATTTATTACGCTATTCGTCATACCTCTACCATGTGTTAGACCACCAGCTGTTTTCATTGTCCGCATAAGAGTTTGTTCAATCGTCATATCTGTCCATATACCAGACCAAGTTTTATCTACGCGACGAATAGTAAAGTAACTTTTATTTACAAACTTTGAATATTCTGCAGTATTCATTTTATTCTCTAATGTAAGCATATCTTGTAAATACATATAAGTAGCCTTAGCGTATGGAATGTGACCGCATGCTTGAAAATAAGGAAGCATGTCTCTACAACAAGTTAAATGTAGACACCAGTCACCTAATCTTTCGGCTTGAATAAACTTTTTCATTAATGTAACCATTTCAAAATATTGTATCCATAACGCAGCTGTTGGACTTAGATTTTTAATTAAACTAACTTCGGTTATAAATTTATTAGTTATAGAAATAAAAGTTATGTCTTCATTTGTTTTTTCCATACTTGTGGGATCCACAAAGTAATTATTAAAGTACTCTTGAACTTTAACTCGCTCATCTTCAGTTAGATCAATTCTTTCAAAAATAAGTTTTGACAAAGCTAAATGCGTTAATGAATGCGCTCGGATAGATCTCGAATAGGCATGACCAGATAGTAGTTTTTCTACAGAATTTGGTGCATATATAGTATTTAACATTTCCTGAAGTCCACTATTTGACATTAGATACCCAATGCAGCCCATAAAAGACATCAGTAAATGAAAGCCCCCGAGTCGAACAATGACGTTTGAAAGTTCTTTACGATAAGTATGAACTATATCTTTTGCTTTAATATACAATGGTAAATCAAAAGTAACAAATGTAGTTTTTTGATTGATTTCATTTGATTTTTTTACTGCAAAATGGAGTACTGTTGAAATTGCATCATAACTATGAGCTGGTAAATTTACAAATGGTAAAAAAGTTATTTGTGAAAGTGAATAGTCTATAGGCAAAATTTGACTCACATTTTCCATATAGCCATTCCAACCACTCAAATTTTTAATTTTTATATATTTTCCACAGGCCCATAAAACATCAATAGGTTGTAGGTATTTTGTAGTTTTTAAAAATGTAACCAATTGGTTGAGATCTTGAATTTCAACATTTTTTAATCCACTTTCAACTTGTTTTTCATAATAAAAAATGGGTACTTGACCATACTTGCTTATTTCATTTGAAGATGGAAGTTTTTTAACTAGGAGTATAGGTTCATTAGGAATAACTGATGTTGCTGGTGTAGAACAGCATATACCACCCATTATATGAATAGTATTTAAACCATCGATAGTACATGAGTTAAAATCAGCATAGTCAAATACGAATTGGCTGAAAGAGTTTTCAAAAATATTAGTTTGTGGATAAACTAAACAAGACGATTCAAATTTAATAATATCGTGGTAAGTTGAGCAAAGTCCTAGACTAGATAAAATATTTATTAAATTTTTGGATTCAAATTTTCTATGGAGGTATATACCAACACCCATTTGAATAGTAGATTGAAATGATCGAGGTCTTGTCGCTGACATTATAGCATGAGCAATGGCAGTACATTTTTTTGATATTTGTGTTTTATCACCTTTCTTATTACTCAGTATTACTTTATTTAAAAATATATTCAATGTTTTTGGAATGACACAATCAACATTTTCTAAAAATTCATTTGGTGCTGGGTAAGAACTTGTGTCATATATTTGTGAGCGAATGTCTTCTAAAATAATTACTGCCGCGGCCTCTACAATTCTTTGTCTCTCTTCCTCTTTATTAAACTTTCGATTTTCATACCAATTTTTTGTCAATATATTTTGACATGTACCTCGAAAACATATAGTTGTGGTTTTTTTATTTGCGGAACTCAAGATAATATTTTTACCATATTTTTCAAGTAATTTTGCACGAATAGTTTTTACGTCGGGCACATAATCATCATCAATGTAAGGCAATATATCATTTTCAATCGAAAATTGACATTCCTCGCTATTTTCTAATATAGAATATATTTTTTCCATTACTATTTTAATGTCCTCATTTTGCGGTCTACCTCTTTTTAAATTGACTCTAGATGATGATTTGAAAAAATTAACAAAACAATGTTTGTGATATCTACCATCAGCTGCTACGAGATCAATTACATTAGCTAAACGCTTTTCAACCTCTTTGCCCCATAAATCATTTCGTTGTTTAGCTTGAGTAATAATAGAATGGCCTACGTTTAAACTAGTTACAGTACACACAATTTCTCTACACTCTACAGGCTTCTTTTTTTGAATATCCGAGAAATTGTCTGGTATAATTTCAAAGCAAAATAAACACTTACTTTTAAGTTGAAGAGACTGAGATGATCGTACTTTATTTTTGGTAGGTGTAGGTGGTAATGTCGTATCAATAAAAGTAGAAGCACTTGTTTGTTTCAGGTCACTTATAATGGTACATTTACGTGTATATGATTTTCTACATTCTATATGTGCCATTAACGTGCCACTAATGTTTTTAAATTTATTGTCTCCACGCATTTCACTAGCCTTTAAAAGACTCAATAAACCTTTTTGCTTAACTTCGACAAAGTCACCTCGAGTTTTTTCACAAATACAGCAAGTGATATAAGACATATTTTAAAATTATAAAAAATTTTTAACCCAAAACTAATTTAACACAAAATATTTGCTCTATTACTATCTCACAGCTGTAAGACGAAAAATTACTGTTATACAAGTATATTATCGATAAACCTAACGTCTTTTGTTAAGATAAAATTCAGTCTGTAATTAGCGTCAAATCAATTACCTACACTATCGGTTATATCTTAATATAAACTACACTATAATGATACTATAAATAAATAAACTCATACATACACATATAACCATTTGTACCATTGTGTCTGATGTAAGAATAATATGATAAAAATTAATCGTAAAATGGAAAAAAATTGAAAATAAATTTTAGTACTCATATTAAATGTAATGTAACTCGAAAAATATTTGTTTAAATGAAAAAATATAAGATACCTTTTTTGTTTAAAATTGTCTTTTAAACAACTTTCATACGAAACTTTTTTTTGTAAGTTAAATATTTTTTGAGAAAATTAAAAAAGCTCATATTTTTGAACTTTTGCGAGGCTGTAAAAAAAAAAGCTCAAGTCCAATCGATGAGGACTTTTAGTATGTCATTATACATATCCTAATTCAACTTTTAAAAAAAAAAAATTTTGGTTGGGAATTTTTTCCGCCGTTTTTCCTTCGTTGACTGGCCTATAAGGCTATATACTAGAGTCGACTAACCACTATAGCAAGATCCTTTGAGTTTAAATAGTTTTAGAATCATTGCCAATTCATCAGTCGCTAGTGCGCTTTTTGTGTTTTATTTTATAATATTTTTTACAATAATGGTGATATAACACCTTCACAGTAATATGTGATATGACACCCTGTGTATTGTCAATAAGTAAGGAAAAGGGTTTCTATTATTCTCAATTTTCGTAACAATTGATTTGTTTTCATAGTTTTGAACATCCTATTGAATTTAACTACAGTGTCCAACTAAAAGAATGACAGAAATGAAAACTTTCAACATGAAAATTTATTTATGAACATATATTATTGAAAAATATTACCTGCTTTAAGAAAGTTCAATAATTCTGCTACTTCAGATTTTGATTTATTTCTTTGTTCTATATAATATAAATAATCATTAAATTATTTAATAGTGAAAGCTTTTAATTACAATGTTAGAATTAAATGGTTAGTTTGCATGGTGTATTATAATATTGTTTTTTAATTAATTAAAATTTAAATTTGAATTTGTTTTTAATATGTTTACTTGTTTACAGAACTAAAAAAAAATTATATTATAAAAATGTTTAAAAACAAATTAAAAATATTTATCGATAAGTAAATAGCATAGTTAAGATCTTGCTGATGCGTAGATATCTATTTTTAGATTTTTTAATAAATAATTGCCTGCTTAATATTTTTCATTTAATTTACATACATTTAAAAAAAATTCTATATGATCCGAAATAAACTTCATTATAAACTCAAATCTGACAGTAATTAAATCTATTATCATTAAATACTTGAATGTATTTGTGCAAAAATAAAAGCTTGAAAAAAAATTAAAAATTGTTCTGACGTTTCGGAACACTTTCAATAATTAAGTTGAAAAAATTTTGATATACAAAAGAGACCACACTGAAAAAAAGAGGTACGTATATTTAATGAAAAAAGTTCATTGAATCAATGAATTAGTTCATTAAAATATCTCTTATGATCGTGTAAATCCATATAAGGATTTTGTACATTATCCTAGGGGGAAAGGATAAAAAAAACAATTATATATTATTAGTGGCATAAGGTTCCCTCTTTTAAAATACAAAATAATCAATTAACCAGGGGATAAAATCTGATTATTGTACAGATTTAAAGTAAAGCCTATGTGTAGTGATATAATTAAATCCAGCCAATTATATTTAATAATAAATAAAGATCTTCAGTTTTCAAGATCAAGCTTAGGATCGCTACACTATCTTCTAACTATAAAACCCAATGTTTTCCTATTTACAAAAATTCTTTCTGCAAAGTCAAAATAGATAAAATCTGCGACACTCTTCTCAAGTTTATTACACTCTGGGTCTTTTTTAAAATTAATTTGGACTTAAAAACTATTCAAATTAAATGAAATTTGAAATATATTCAAGATTTTGTTTTAGTAAATCTTTCAATTAAAATTTATTTCTTCATTAGATAATAATGTTTTATTTTTCTTATAATGAAAAAATAAATGTCAATCAATATTTCAAACATAACATTTTTTTTAAATAAAGGTAATTTATTTTAACAGTAAACCCAGCTCAACTCTAAATATTTTGTTGTAAACATTTATTATGCATTTTTCTTGTTGGATAGCTTAATGTCTTTGTTTTAAAGAACATCGCGTTCGCAAAAGAAGTAAAGGTTGCAACATAATATTTTTCTAAATTAAGGTATACTAGGTTGGAATATATTTGTAAGCCTATGCGCTAACGAATATTACGCTGGCAGACAGCGTAAAGAAACTTAAGAATTTTTAGTGTTTAATTTTTATTAAATAATAAATTCATTTTAAATAATTGTGGTCGATTTTGATATTAAAAAAAAAAGAGTCGGCTATTTTCAATAAATACAATTTTTTTTAGACATTTTTATAAAAAAAAAAATAATAAGGAGAAATTTTGAGCTCGTATAATTTTTTGATCAACAAGTCAGACACACCAAAAAACATCTTGATGAAATTATTACGGTAGTAGCTTTCAATCGAAGCTGAAATTTAACTGCAGTTATTAGCACGTAGCAAAAATTTCGTTTGTAGGAGGGTGAGGGATAAAAACATAATTTTTTAATGCTCTTTAATACTATAAACTTAATTTAATATTTAAAATCAACAATTAAAACTTTTTGAGTTAAATCATAATTTAAATGTAGAGACCTTAATGGATAAAGAAATAAATCTATCCTTCCTTGCAACTCTCTAAATTTTGGAAAATGAGAGGTTTTTATCACATTTTGCAGTTAATAGGTTTGCATGAGTCACGCAAGAACTAGCGACGGCAATGATCTCATTTTGTCCCAAATGAGCCGCTTCCCCGATATTCAGTGACCCTATTGTGCTGGTTTTTTTTTAATTGAAAATAAAAGTACAAAATTATATCAAAGTTCAAAATGACATTAAATATTTCTTGTATGCCAAAAATTCATAAATATATGATGATAATTACCTTTTTCCATAAATATTGACATGTCTGAGTTATTTGGTGTAACTAAAAAATAATAATGATATTAAAATCAAACTATTTATAAACTATACTTTTTTTTTAGTTCCATTGCACCAATCCACTGGGTTTTATTTATAATAGAAAATAAAAATAATTGTAGCACAATGAAGTTTTGACACAGTGAGGTTGCATCACAGTATACAGGGTGATTTATGATATTGGTTTTTTATGATATTGCTATCACAGTCACGGATTGTTTATTATCAATTATGACTATCAATAGATATACTTTTTGTATTGTCAGTTAGTGTATTTATAAACTCACAACAATGTACCTTACTATCATTGATAATAACAATGCTGTGTACCTGCTAATATCGATGTCATAAAAAATCCATTAGCTACCTGTATTTGTAAACCCTTGTGTATTATACCTATATACTAACTCAAAAATTTGAAACTTTAAATGTTCATATCTAATAAACGAATAAAGTTATATTAAAAATTCATATGTCATTTACTATTGAATTAAAAAGTCAAACATTTTATTAAATTAAAAATATGTGTTACCATTTAAAAAAACAAAGTTGACACCCTTACCAGGCATAAGGGATGAACTTAAAAAGTATTACATAGTTAATAATTCAAGAATAATGTGTAACTAAAGATAATAATAAAAAAAAATTTTTTAATTATTATTATTCTGTAATTAATTGAGTGGGTTATGATAAAAAAATCACTCTGACAGTAATTAAAATAACTATCACAAAAACGCTTCAATGAAAATCTGTAGATAGTGTTTAATTTTTTAGAAAGAATTTATGAAATACTCCAATAACCACATGAAATCAATTTTTTAAATAAATTTCATTAATAAGTTTTATGATTCAAAACACAAAACATGTATTTATAATATTAAACATATACTTATGTAATTCATGAATAAATACTATAAATACTGTTAATAAATAATAAAAAAGTTTTATATTTTATAATTATAATATATCATAGTAATTAAATTTATAATGAAATGGATATTTGATAATGTAGCATTGTTAATTTTATGAAAAAAATTATAAAAATTTAAGTTGTAAAATACAAGGTAATTATTTTATTATTAGCCACTGGATTTCTCTCTTAAAATAATAATTGTATTAAGTAAATTCTTAATGGTATTATTCAATTTTATATATTTTTCGATTTATAAATTATTAATTATTTTTTAATTCATCCCTTATACACTGTAAAAGTGGTTTTGAACTGTTTAAATGGTCACATAAATATTTAATTATCTAATAAAATAAAAAATGATCTCGTTACAAAAAAATTGACTTATTATTATTAAAATCTAACAAACGTTATAAAAATTATAAAATTTATTGGTAAATATTCCAATTTTATTAATCAATAACAATGGCCCATTTGAGCATTATTGAAATAATAATCATTTTATTATATTCAATAGTATAAATTACAATTAATCTCCTTGACCCAATAGACGTTGTCAATCCAGCAGTGTCAGATTTTATTCTTCTGCCTCATGCCTATTCTATTTCATTTATTATTTATATTAACTTGTAATTATTTTAAATATGATTTGAAATACGTTTAATAAAATGTTTTGTTTTTTTTTTATTATTATTTTGGAAATTTATGACAAATGTATTTAATATTATTTCTATGTATCATAATTATATAATTCCAATTAAGCTTCAAGAATTTAAAAACATGAAATATAATATCAAAAATTTCATATTTTTTATCTACGACAGCTATTTGTATATAGAATTAAAATTTAACTCATAGTACGTAACATATCCTTTTTATTTAACATATATTTAAAACTTTCAGTATTTCCGGAACATTTTCTAAAGTTAAGTTGAAAAACTTAACTTTTTGTGTAAAAGTCATTATTTTGAATTTTATGGGTCAAATATTTAAAAAATGTATATTAAAATAAAGGAAAATGCCTATGGTATTTATATTACTACAATTTGTTTTTTTGAAAAGTTTTACTGAAATAATTCAAATTAATTAGATATATGTATAAATTGAATATGAATAATTTTATATTTTGAATATAAACTTATAAAATTTACTATAATTGTCTATTGATATAAAGTAATATTAAATGTATGTATATATTTACTTCTGATTTTTGATTACTATAATGATATACATGTATTATTTATTATTTGGGATTAAATTACACACGCAATTTAAGGGCGTAATAGTTTTTAACTTTTTCACTGAAAATAATTTCATAGGTAAAATTATGTAGAATTTTAGTTACAAAGTAATTTACTTAGGTAGATCATTATTTTATGTTTTTTGAAGATGTGCCTCAAGTTGGTTTTAAATATAACCTCTATTTAAATTATTCTAGTCCTGAAAAACTTTCATTACACTTTTATTCTAAATATTAAGTAATAAGAAATTTATTCGTCAAAACCTATCGTTAGTAAGATTGAAACTATTTATTACTAACTTGTTTTAATATATTTAATCCTATGTAGTTTTTATAAAAAAAACATTTCAAATTGATAGGACTTCCTCTTTATTGGAGAAGGTACTTATTAAACATTTTATATAATACAATTTAACTTTTTTAAATTAATTGATATTCTTTAAAAAATCAATATAAATGTGCTTAGAGTAATGAATTAAAATATAAGTTTCTAGAATATTCAAGTAACTTGTAGAATAATTTTTCAGCATAAATAATTATAAATTTTAAATACTTATCTGACTGCCCATTATTTTATTACTTTTTACAAATATATCGCTCATTCGGAGCGATGTTTACATTAATGTATATCTTTTTAACTACCATAAGCGTATTTGTGGTTTCGAACAATGGCAGGTTAAAATAGTTAAATTTTTAAGAAAAACTAGCTTCTCTTCATCACCTTACCAACTAGTTTAATATAAAAGGGCTAGGAAAATTAACACATCGCTCATTATCACTCATTATTTACCCCATACTCTTACTCTTTCATATTAAAGTTAATAATGTAAAATTTATGTTACATTTGTTAACCTTAATTATAAGTCTTATACATTTTTTAAAATAATTAATTCAAATCATAGAAATAAACTCAGTATGTTTCCCCTCGTACTAGTATTTTTATATTCGATGCGAAGCTAAGAAGGTATTAGATTTACTATAATGTGATTTTTTGTGTCTGTTACCACTTTTTCTCAGCTCTCACCATATTTAAATTAACATAATATATTGACGTCAACAAGGAACATCATAATTTATCATCTATCTAAAAGTCCATCTGGATATCAAGGTAAGTATAGTCGTAAGACATGCACTATATTTATGTAATATAGTAGATGAGAGGTAGGATTAAGTTGATATGATTGAATCAATATAATCCTTATAACTTACAACCCTTCCAATATACCATCTCCCTCAATTTTCTTTTTATTACATTATTACCAATAGTCTCATTATATTAAGTAGTACTTCTACAGAATTTCAAGTTTTAATGGTTATTTATTCTTTTAAGAGATTCAATTGAAGCTTCAGGATACGAACTTAGCCCATATCCTTAATTTTAACCTTTTTACTAATGGAAATTGAAGCAAATATAAAATAACAATTTTTAACTATCTTATGAATCGTTTCAAAATAAGTTAATATATTTCAAAATGAAATGTTTCTTTTGAAAACTTACCATAGAGAACTTCATCTGGTAATTCTATATCAATCATATTAATATTTTTGTTGAAATAGAAGTGTAAATTGTAAAGCTTTTCTATAATAATCTTCTTAATTTCGTCATCAAATTTATTATTCAAATATTCAAAATTAAAAATTTTATTTTGTATAATATGTACTGTCTTCCAATCTTGCGGTATAGAATCATCATTTTCAGTAGTAAATACACATTTTTTTTCTAAGTCGCCATTAATATCATTACTAATATATATTATCATTGCATTAAAAACAATATCAATATTTTTCAAGATAATTTCACAAGATTTTGGATTATCTTTCGACGGAGGATCACGAACAATAATGTTTTCAACTTTTTGTAAACGTGACAAAAAATCATATAATATGTAATCATGTTGTTTTGTGTTGGGTCGCATATGATATAATGCATCCAATGAAATCAATGATTCTTTTATGACTGTTGCCAATAAAGTTATTTTTTTAATAATACCCAATAAATTTATGGTACATTCATAGGGATTATTTTTTGTTTCTAAAATTATTTTACATATATTTTGATAATCATTGACCATATAGAATATTTGTCTTAAATCTTGAGCGTATAGACAACTAAGGAATAATGTAGCACTACGTACTTTACCATTGCTTGATCCTTTATGGGCAATGCTATTAATACTCTCTAAGCTATAATAAGTTCTACCATATCGCACTTCCTGTATGGTAGATAAATTTTTCCAAAAATCGTTTTCACAAAAATGATTAATGATTGCTGTTTTTCTTGGCGTACTAGAATATGCTTCAATAAATAAAATTGCGTGAAGTAAAAAAACCCAAATTTCGGGTAACTTAATTAAAAACATTTTTAAGGATAGTAACCAAAAAATAAAAAATATATAAATTTTTTACTAAAAAATAATTAAATCTTTTCGTATTAGCTAAAATTGTGAAGAAAAATATACTAAATAATTAAATTATATTAACTGTTATAGAAAAAAAATCTGTTTAAAGCTTAAAATAAATGTCGATATTTTATTATTACATTTTTATTTATTTAGGTGTTATTTTAAATATATGACTTATGTACTGTGAATAAAGAGTTAGTTGCCTTAAAATCTTTATTTTTAAATAAAAAAAAAATAAATCAAACAAAATGCTTCTAATATTTAAAATCAACATTTTAAGTAATTTTGGCAGGTACTCTTTTTTTACATTTATAATTTTAATATAAATCTGAGAGAATGAAGAATTTACTTAAGTATTTTTTTATTTAAATCCCTAAATTTTCTTAGTACTGAATTTATTTTTCTTTTTTTGTGTTTAAATTGCTTTTAATTTAAAAAAAAATAAAAATGTATAAATTTTTTACAAAAAAATAATTTTTTTTTGTATAAGCTGAAATATAAAGAAAAATATACTGCATAATTGAATTATATTAATTACAAAAAAAAAATCTGCTTAAAGTTTACAATAAGTCTCAATATTGTATTATTACATTTTTATTTATTTAGGTGTTATTTTAAATATAAAAATTATTTACTGTTTTAAGGAAACTATGTCTTTATTTTTAAATAAAAAAATGTAATTTGAACAAAATGCTTGGAATATTTAAAATACAAATTTTAAGTAATTCTGACAGGTACTCCATTTTATATTTATATTTATAATTTTACTATGAATGTGAGAGAACGAAAATTTTACTTAAATTAGTTGATTGTATTATTAAATATGAAGTAAAAAATACATAAATTTAATATTACTTTATTTAATAGACATTTATAGTGATTAGTGGTAAAATTGTATATGTTTATTTATAATTATTTATGTTTAAAATTATTCATATTTAATTTGTACATATATTTCAATAGTTTGAAATATTTAAGTAAAACTTTTCAATTTCTGTTATTTTATGAAACTTTAAATCACTACTAGAAACAACCTATACATAAGTCTGAAGTTGGTCAAACTTGAAAGTGCTTTTCTTCTATACCAATAATTCTACATTGAAATTCGATTTGGCGAATATTTACTTTACTCTTATTCAATCAAAGATACAAATGCACGAAATTAATTAGCATATTCATTTTCACTAATTTTAATCTCATTTTAGCTTCGATGCGAGCTGAGAAGATATTAGTTTTNAATAAAACATATTTTTCATAATTTTATTCTAGCTTCGATGCAAAGCTGAGAAGATATTGGTTTTACTGTGATGTGTTTTTTTTGTGTCTGTTACCACTTTTTCTCAGCTTTCAACGAACGGATTTCTTTCAACGATACGTCAAAAGATCACAAATCGTATGTAGTCGAAGACATTACCCTTAAAAATTGAAAAAAATTCCCTCGTTCCCCGTAAATGAGGGAAATCTCCAAAAAAATTACAAATTTAAAAATCGCTAATTTTCGAAATTTTTTCAAATTCTTTTACTAAAATGTGCCGTAACTTTTTCAAAAATGAACATATTAACCCAACCCAACCATATATACGGGGAGGCTTCAAATATAAAAAATGCATATATAAAGTAGAACTTTTTCAACTTATCTTTTGAAAGTGTTCCGTAAAGTCTGACACTTTTATATATATATCTTAAATTAAAGCTTATATAATATACTTTAATTAAAAAAAAAAAATTTGACCTCTGGACTTGTCTTCATGGTGAAAATGGCTACTGAATGCTATTTTCGTGTGAAAATTCTCGATTTTATTTTTTATATTACATTTAACTTTATAATGCTATAACTTATTGAAAAAAAATGGATCCACACAATTTTTTTATGAGAAATAATATTTTTTAATAAACCCTTTTTCATTCGACATACTTTATCTTAATCAAGATATTAATAAGGAACCAGCAGATCAAGTAGCTTTTGGAATAAAACACCAATTTTTTTAAAATTAAACACTATCTAAAGATTTGCATCGAAGCGTTTATTTTTGATAGTGATTTTAATCACTGTCAGATATCATTATACTTGATCCAACTATACCACGGCACCACTGTGCTGGGTTTTTTATATATATATTTAAATAATTTAAAGGAACGAAGACAATCCAATTTGGCATATGTAATCGAAATAGGTAATTGTTATATTTATGTATATTGTATATTTATGACTTGCAGCATACATGAAGTTTTTAAAGGTATTTTAAACTTTGATAAAGTTTTGTATTTTAGCTACTATGCGAATACAAGAGGGTATTAATTTTACATGATGTGTTAATTTTTTTTTGTGTCTTTCACTACTCTTTCTTAGCTCTCACTGGACCGATTTTTCTCAGCGATTCGTCAAAAGAACTCAAATTGTATCAGGTTTAATATCTGACTCTTTAACTGCCCAAAAAAAAAGGATTCAAATGAAAAGTTTACTTTTCCAACTTAACTTTTAAAAATGTTCCGAGCTTTTAATATATTAAAAATAAAGTTTATTTTACGTACTATAACTTAAAAAAAAATCTTATCGTCATCTTATCATTTGTGTGAATATAGCTGCCGTAGTTAAAAAACAAGATAACTTTGTGTGTCTAAATTTTATTTATTTTTTTTTTTT